AAAATCCAGTCATACACGCAGAGGTATTTGTGAACTGCGGCACAAAAGCAGAGTGAGTCTTTAAATTCGATGACACTGAAGGGTGGAGAATAACTTGTTCACTGGTGCACACTGACACCATGAGCATATGTCAGGTACAACATATCTGTGTGTTATAAATGTATTCAACTCTTCTGTGATTGTTTTTTGATCAAAACAAAATTAATGCTCTAATTGGTGCATGTTTAACAAAGAAAAAGCTAAATAAAGATTACATTGCTGTAAACGTTCTACAGGGACACTCCAGTTTAAATATTATGATTTGAAAAAGAAAAGAACCAATAATGCATGTGACGATAAAAGAGGAACGATTATTCATTTCATCTTAAACCTGCAGAAATCCTGTGAGAAAATACTCAACGCTTTGTGAAATGTAGTACTGCACATTAATTTTAGGCTGAACCTCCAGGAGGATCTGTTGACTGTTGCAGATGAAATCTGAACTGTAAAATACACCTTAACAATTTTCAAATAAAACCAATACAATCCAGTAATATAAAAACAACTCACTGTATTTATCAGAAACGTTTGTTCAAACTTCTACACAAGGATCAACTTAGGAAAGAGAGACAACTAACAAACCACAACAAACTCTCAGGCATCAGATTCAAATTCAGCATACTGCTTCAAAAGAAAAGATAATGTATTGATGAAAAATCCTCAAAGCAAAGATTCACCATTGTGGAAAAAGTTGAATCTCTGAGATGTTCCAGAAAATCAGTGAAGGCTAAAAGGAAAATTGCACGAACCAATATAGGTTACAAATTTCTAAATTCACAAAATGTAACATGAACCAAATCCAAGCACAAAGAAACAAATAACATTCACTGATACGTTTTTCGTGTGAGACTGAGTAAAACAAGAAATCTAAACTCAATGTGTCCATGTGAATTCTAAATCACATGCAGACTTACAAAACTACCAATGCAGTTAAAAATGATACCAGGTGAAATGATTGAAACAAAACCTAAGAATGACTTTTGCAAAACACTGAAAAAGATGATTCAACGTTTTTCCAAAAGCGTGAACAAAATCTTGGGGACTTTTATTCAGAGCCTTGTTGGCAAGACAAGTTAGTAAGTAAAACTTCTTTAAAATGTTTGAATGATGGAAGAAAGTAAAAGACATGGGTTGCTTCTAAAAATACATCTGCAGTGCAAAAGTGAGGTTCAGCACCAAGGACAGAGACACACTGCTGCTTTGTGGTCAAGTGATAAATCTTTGGGGGAAAAGAAAATTCAATAGTCTTTCAGATGACCAGAGCAATTGAAATACTAGCATACAAGAGTGGACAAGTCTTCTCTGAACTATCAGAAAACACCACGATACTCAATCTTTACTGAGAAGATAAGTATTCTCCAAGATGTTCAGGATGAGCATAAAAGAACAAAATATTTCCTGAATTATTTATAAAGGACTGAATCTATAGAGAGAATCTTCATAGCAAACGTGTTGTGCATTGATGATTTGCCATTTGGAAAGGTAAGACAGGCATATCCACATTTCTCTGGGGTTTTTGATGAGTTTGTTGAATGCAAATTCAAATGTTTTGAGTGGTATGTGACATCCAGTCTTACCTCGGGAGAAGAATCACAGTCTCCAAACGCATCAGCAAAGTCAGAAGGACTTTTCCTCAGAGTCTGGTCAGCAGGCAGTGTGTTGTCATTGTAAGATGTCACGAACTTAAAGTCACTGGTTCGAGAACCTGTTGTCAGGTAGGCGTCATAATTGTAAGTGCTGCGTAAAGTTCCTGTGCCATCAACATCTGCGTAATTAGGAGGGAGATAAGCGCTGGGGATGGCGACAGCTCCGTCAAACAACATTCTGGGTTTTCTCC